GTTTGATAACAGCTACCCGAACGCATCCAAGGGATACCTAAAAACTCAAGGGTAACTGCTTCGCGAATGAATTTACTATCGGATCGGAATCGCGACCCGCTGAGAAGATCCGGCGAGAAACTCAGCGGGCTGATGTTTAAGTTAGGTTGCACGTCCAACTCTGCCGAGTACGAGTACGCTTGCCAGAGTCCCTAAGCCTGCTCCTAGTGTTAGAGCTAAAGGCGTCTAATGCAAGGGTTATTGGATCTGATGGATCCGTAAGCACGTGAAGATCTTATTCCGTCAATGATTCGTTAAGCAATACAAGACCTCTTGCCTGCGCGTAACTGGAATAGCCTCTTAGGCTACCAGTGGACAAATAGGGGAAAAAACAAAACTACACCGCACACTATCTTACTATAAGACTTATTTATGTAATAAATTTACGGAGTAAATAAGTAAGTAAGTAAGCAAGCAAAATTGAAGTTATTGCAAGACTAAATTCACATAGCGACAATGAGCATTTAGGTTATGCTTAACTACTAATATTGTATCCGTAAAAAGTCCGTTGAGAGAGCTGTATTTCGATAAATACCTATATTATAGATTTGTCAATGGAAATTCACTTTACAATAGTACTTAAAACAAGCTAAACAAGTCCATAATGCCATGAAGCTTAATAATATACGGCGATCAATAAATTTAACATCATTATTACTTCTCGAGATTTTTTGCGACCTTGAATTTTTTTAAACGAAAAATAGAAAGACAATTTTAATGTAATTTATATTGTTGCACTGTAACCAACTCTTTTGGAGCCAGGATCGACTGTGGTACTATAAATATGTAAATCGCTTCATCGACTATATGAATAATTATTAATAGACAAGCATTCCGTATGGGGCATTTTTTGCTCTAATGCCCCTAGTGGTTACCTCACCTTGAGACATGAGATAGAAATCGCAATTATATTTTATAATAGCTGTGCTATCTTTCATCAAAATTAAATGAACTGTTTCGTTCCAGAAATAGGATAAAAGGAACCAAACCTACCCGTGGTGGTGCAGGCTTACAACGCACCCTTAATACCAGTACCCTTAGTACCAGTAAAGTTTAATTGTATACTGCCATTTTTTATAGCTGTAAAATAAACTATGGAATTAATTCACAATATCATTACGTTAGACGGTGATGATTAATTTGATATTATGTTGATAATACGATTGATATTTTTTTTTGTGAAGGAAGGATTACTGGTGGCCCGGAAGCTTTTTCAGTTTCATCAGGATAGGTGGGCGAGTACCGAGTCCGAGCGCCTCCGAAGGAGAAAGGACAAGTTAAGGGCAGCTGCTTCGCGCATGAATCTACTACCGGATTGGAATCGCTGAAAAGATCCAGCAAGAAAATCAGCGGGGTACGATTGATCTACGCTTAAGGCGCAACACATAAATGATTGACCCGCGCTTATAATATACAAATTTCGATCATTTATGTAGTATAATTGTAACATGTTTAATTTAAACTTGGGTGGGTTTGTGCACCTGTACCGTTTCCAATTCGACGGCTGCGCTTTTTTATAAATTCTAGCCCAGCAAACTACCGGAAACTTGACTTATCCTTAATCTTCTTTCAACATTGATAACAGAAAAATAGAGAACTTTGTCGGATCGATTTCTTCTGATAATTAAATAATTTACCAAAAAATTCATTAGTCTCTTCTCTACTTACATAAAATGGTGCTATTCATATTAGATGTATAGATATCAAGATGTTTATTTATATCGTCTTAGTGACTTAATTTTAAGTAAAACGAAACTATATTAAACATTAGAATAAAACCTTTGAGCCTCATAGTGGATGCTTTGAAACTTGCAACGATTGTTTCGCTGCATTTTAAAGTGGTCCAGTTGTTTCATTATGGAACTTTTTTTGATCGCTAAAGTAGGCGAATGGTCCCCGTTACCCTTGTGATTAGAACAGAAACATTAAAAGGAGTTTTTATAAAAAAAAAGTCTATGTCAAAATTTAACCTAATAAAAAACCTAGCTAATATAGTACTGAGTTTTAAAATGGCATCATGCAACCGAATCCTGAATCCGTTTTTTCCGAATTTTGCATTGCACTTGCGACAGTTGACGTTATTATTCAATATGGCATGTACTGTATGTTGCTGGAATGTTTTTTCGTTTTCGTTTCGTTTTTTTACCGACAAAATAGACGGGTTTCTTATAATAAGATGCAAACAAATTATTACGTGGATAGTGACTTCAACCTCAAGGTAGGCTACTGCGATATTCGCGCCATGATGTCAGTGCGTTCCGCTAATCGCTCGACCAGTGTGCTTAGTACGAGCTTTTTAACTATTTCGATAGTGTAAAAGTTAACCCAATTTTGTATGTAGTTGGAACAGCGCCCCTAGCGGCAAACGTAGGCAAACGATCCCATTCCATACAAATACGAGCTAACTTTTACGCTATCGAGAACGTTAAAAAACTCGCACTAAGCACACAGGTCGTCAGGACGTCAAAAAACATCGCTTTTAAAATACAATGCGTTGCAAAAAAAGTCACCATCGACAACACCGGCCTTTTGGCGTGACTCCGCGTACGCTTAAATTGGATATCCAATTTATATCTCGAAGATAATAATGAAATGATAAAGTCATAATACTAATATTTAAAAATTTAAATTTATTATTATATTTTACACTTTTAACGTGATGTGATTTTATTATGTGCTTAATTATAAAGTACCTAAGTGAAAACTAGAACAAGAGTAACTTTGAAATCCATTTTCTGTATGCAAGAACGCACTGTCGTTTAGAAACTTGTTGAAAGTTTGAAGGATATTCATAGAAAACTTATCTTTTCTGTTTGGCTTACATTAATGGAAGAGTTGATGCATCGTGTAGTGTTAAAATGGCTGCCTAAGTTTACAAGACATGGAGGCGAAATACCAATTTCAATGGAATATGGGCTGTTCTAACATTTAAATTAAAACGCATGACTAGTTCGCTGTAGCAGTAAGGATTACCATCTGTAATGCCGATCCATGCAAGCTCACAGAATACACTTATCAATCACCTTGCGTTATTATTTTTATTATATTATTTCTTTATCTTGAACGCATATTCGTAGCTGTCTCAGGACCTAACTATTCCACAGTCGCGAAACTATAGCGGACGTTTCATTCATACTAATACAAAGTTATTCCTCCCTATTATTAGCTGTGCTACGTTAGCTGTGAATAATTTCATCTTAATACTACCGATTTGATTATATAGTGCTCGCCTCGGTGTTACGTTATAGTTAAATTGGTAGTATTAAATTGAATTTATTCACAGCTAATTGTTCGGTTATGTTTTGTAATAACATTAATGTTTTCCAGCAACACTATCGCACCAACAATACGTACAAGCTACGACACTTCTTAAGGTTGATGAAAGGACACGTTCAAAGGCATTACTTCGTTCTGTACTTAAGCAAAGTATTTAAAGCATTCTGCATCCAGATGCATTTAATTTTCATGGCTGTCTTAAGCCTAGAGTATGTTTTTATATTTATTTTAAATGTTAGATAAAAAAAATGTGAGCCAACATGGGACGCCTAGCAGATGTGAAACATCGACATTATTTTGTAAAAGTAATATGCAGAAAAGAACAGATTGTGATAGGATCTAAATATGTCATAATGATAAAATAAAATATTAAGAAAAAATAATGTGTTTTCAAGTAAAACACAGGTTATATAGTAAACAACACTGTATACACTACGGAGTATACACTATAAGTATCCGAGCTCAGTGTAGCGAGAGAGATGGCTTAACGGCGGATCGAGTGGGAGAGAATCGCACAGTCGATTGCGCATGGCTACGCGTCGCCACACCGTACATACTACTGCATATAGACTGTATATATATACCATCATATAGCGTGGCGACGCATCGCCACGGCATGCGTCGCCACACCAGAAATCGGTTTTACGTGCGGCTATAGATGTTTCGCATAAAAAAAAATAGATGATTATAGTGGCAATGAATACGTAGATTTGTAATAGAGAATTAAAAAACTTTGCGCTGTGATTAACACTGCCTTTATATCGTTACACAAACGACTCGACCATGATCACCGACCGTGGAAACTATGTAAAATACTTTTGATCGCATCTACGCAAACCCCTAAGAAACTAAATACATCTTATTTAGCTTACTGAAAGACAAAAGAGTTACGTAATGGGATGCCAGAGATTTTAATCGATACAAGCGAAAATTTCTTTGGTGCGTTTATTTATCAAAAATATATTGTGAAACAAAAAAGTTGTCTCCAAGCTCGCGTTGTCACCCGGCACGGACTGGTACCGAAGTAATATTTATTGCCTATTACTGCAACACAGTATTTTATTCAAAGTTTTTGAATATACTGGTGTTCCTAATCGATGGACACAACAATTTTAATTCGTGACGCAATAATTATAGGTGGTTTTTTATATCTACATAGCTGAGGATATCTATCATTACATACATCTATAGCACTATGTTATAGATATATCAAACCAAGCCGCCAAAACTTTGTAATGTATTTTTCTTTAAATGTATGTCTCAATATTTTTACGACATAACATGTGTTCAGCTGTATTACTTTATTATATGATTGTTTACAGCAATCAATTGATTTTTCCAGTGTTTTTCTTTCTAATTAAAAGTATAAAATACTATTTAAAACATGCAATAAGAACCAGCTTGACTTAAATTTAGAATATGGCATTGGAATAATCAAATATTATATTCGAAATCTGAAGAACGTCTTCAAGCACAACAGGTTGTACACGACACGAAAATAAACGACATAGCCTTCATTAACAAATGCGCTTAATTATGTTTGACTTTAATGGCGTTAATTAATGTTTATTGTTTATAAAAACATTGTTTCCGAGGAAGCGCGTCGAACGATCTACCGCTTCACAGTTTCTCGGTACTATGTAATAGACGCGTCCATTGAAGAAACTCATTCTCAGTTCACTTACCGAAAAATTTAAAGTATAACTTCATGATGTTTTACACGTTACACGATAATACAACGAAACACCAGCGCGTCAGACGGTAGGCGCGCACACGCGGCTGTTTGTGAGATCGCGATCGATGGCGGCGAGCTATTCGCGCGCTTGTCTTTTTACGACTGTTAAGTAGTTACTCTGCTTACTGCCTTCGCCTTCTAATCCGCACGCTCCGCGAAGGCCTCGCGTGCTACTTCGTAAGTACGTCCTGTCGTCAATGAACATTAATGTGGTAACTTGAAGCCAATGACACACCCTATTCTCGGTCGTAGTTTTTTTTATTGCTTATGTGTGCACGAGTTTACAGCCCACCTGGTGTTAAGTGGTTACTGAAGCCCATAGACATCTGCAACGTAAATGCGCCACCCACCTTGAAATATAAGTTCTAAGGTCTCAAGTATAGTTACAACGGCTGCCCCACCCTTTAAACCGAAACGCATTACTACTTCACGGCAGAAATAGGCGGGGTGGTGGTACCTACCCGCGCGGACTCACAAGAGGTCCTACCACCAGTAATTACGCAAATTATAATTTTGCGGGTTGGATTTTTATTAAACGATGTTATTCCTTCACCGTGGAAGTCAATCGTGAACATTTGTTAAGTACGTATTTCATTAGAAAAATTGGTACCCGCCTCGAACACTGTTGCATCGCTAAATACGAATGCACCGGACGTCTTATATCCTTTAGGCCACGACGACTTCAAAGATAGTAAGGTTGTATTACAATAGAAACAATCAATATTAAAATACAGGGCTGTAAGGTTGCGATCATCATAAAAATTAACGAAATCAGAAACTACGTAATCATGTTTGTAAATTGAACAAAATGATTGGAATAGTATTATAAGCATAACTACGTGATTGTACACGGATTGAATATAGTGCAGCAGTTTCTTTTTTTTCTACGAGGATGGGATACGCTTATTTAACGTTAATGTTAAGAAAATAGACATACTTAGCTTTGGAGGAAGAAGAAAAAATCAAGTTTGAAAATTGGCTTGTAAATAATTAAAGTAACAAGTTCCACAAATGTTCCACACTTAATATTCAATAAGTTGACATTTAATGTACATGTGATTGGTTATTAAGCTGTTCTAACAATACTCACCTACTTACCTACTCTCAATAAATTTTATTCTTGATATTTGCCTTTCACTCTTAACGCATCACCAGTAATATGAATTGATGTGTGAAGCTGAATAATATTAATCTTAAAGTAGACATCTAAATTATTAAATAGCTAACAGTGATGAAATTAGGAATATAGGGTTTACCTACGGCTAAATGTGTGACTTATTTTACTCTTTCTACTTGTGTGTACGAAGAATAAACAATCAAATTAGGTTTTTATGAAAAAAAAAAGATACCATTGGAATCGAATTCCAGGTTTTTGAGTGTAACAAGGAAACTATACTAATTTAAATGATTATTTGTGTGTTTGGTTTCATAAGAGTTAGTTTGGTTGGTTGATAGTTTCGATTTACATTGAACCCGACAAATAGCTGTAGAAGACGTCTACCGAGATCTCAAACAAATTTGGATACATCATCATCATCAGCCTTTATCTGTCCACTGCTGGACATAGGCCTTCCCCAATGCCTTCCACATAATGCGGTCCTCCGCCTTCCGCATCCAACGACTTCCCGCCGTGTGCACTAAGTCGTCAGTCCACCTAGTACTGGATACAAACAAATGAAATTTAAAGTTAAGGTTTAAATGACAATTCATTGAAAACAAAATAACAGTGAGAGAATGAGATACAGAAACAATTAATTTGAAGCAAGGTTCTAATTAATTACTATTACCACGTTTGAGACGAGAAGAGACGACCTAAGGTCAGACGATTTCTGTTTAAGCTCTAAAAATACCAAATAGCAGAGGTGCGATTTAAAAAATCTCAAAATACTACTTTTATATCCTTATCGTGCATTCTTTGGATCACCATCTTAATCTAATTTCACTTGTGATGTACTTTTCCTCAAAAATTATTGTGTGGATTTGTTGTGAGTTTGAGCGGCTTCATACCATAGTTATGTCTATTGGATATTAACTTCCTGAGAACGCATTCTCTCGCTCATCATATACTACAAAATTCAAACAAACAAGCAAAGATAATATTATGTAATCACGAGTTATATAATATTTAAACTACATAGTAAACATGTTTGGATACTCTAAGCATTTTGATATACATATTTTCTTTAATAATATTAAGTATAATGTTAGCGTTATGATAAGATTCTTTTATCTGGTTGACTGAATGATTTGCCAAAGTGAAGCCCACATAAAACCTGACTGACAGTGAAAAACGCTATTTGTTTGTATCTGTTTACTTTTTACTAGTACAACGCACTATAGGTAGTGATATAAATGACCATGAAAGGTAACCTCGAATGACACTACAACCTGATGGAGATTATATGGAAATAATATTCAGTTGCTACAATGATAAGTACATACATCTTTTAAATAACTAAAGACGGCATCGGAACCCTACGTAGCGTCAACACCACGGCACGGTAACCTGTTATGATCGCCAAGTACCCTCAACCCGGCTCCCGCGGCAGCCAACGTCCGTCGACGCCATCGACACCTCCTTACGGTTCCTCCTAATCCATCGTCCTCAACGATATTGGATACCGCTAGTATTAACGCGAAGATCGAGGGAAAGAGACCGCGCGGGCGCAGTCCGACAAGATGGTTCGACCAAATTCGCACCACACTAAAGATCCCATTCCATGACGCCCTTCATGCGGCCAATGATCAGAGGCACTGGCGGGACATTACAAGGAGCAAAATCCTGTCGACATATAATGGTCACGACCCTCAGCAGTGAGGAAACGACGCGAGGAGGAGGAGTATTAACGCGAGCAGCAACCAAATAAAAGTCACTGTACTCGTCGAATAAGCCGTTGAGTTCAACGCGGCATTAAGCCTATAAGTCCTATACTTCATTGCGTTTCTCGCCTGGTCGTCTCAGCGGAGCAAGATTCCAATTCGGTGACAGAGGTACTAGCAGCTGCCCTTGATCTGTAAGAACTCGGGAACGCTTCAACAATTGTTAGCAAGCTCTATACTCTCGAAGGAGTCCTTCGTCCGCCCATCCATCATGGTTAAACGGCATCCCGTAAACAAACGTAATCCTTCCTTTTAAGAAAAAAAATACCTCTTTTTCAGTGCACACTTCAGATTAGCTAACCATTTTTTATAATTTTTAAATTTTGTACTTTTTAGAATTGACTAGAGCAGCAAACTTTAGTACATTAATTATTACTAAGTTGGTTACAAGATGATTGTATCTATTAAAACTGGAAAAAAAAATGATGTGGTAACTAAACTTAAAATAGTAACTCATCAAACTCAACCAAAGCGTCAGTGGCAGTAATAGAGAAAACGCTCAATCTAAATAAGTAGACATATAATTATTTACCTAATATGAAAATGAACACGTACGACTTCCACAATGAAGTAATAGTATCAATAATATTAAATCCGTAACCAAGAATGTTTTATCATGGCCATGCTGTTAGGCCGAGTGGGTAGTTGCAGTTGTTTCCTTATCGCTCCTTCATTATGATTAGGTATTATTTAATCACCCTACCATTGAATAGGCATGGAGATCATCCTCAAGGGAAATACAATTAAAAATATCTTATATCAATTTCATTAAAAGTCTTCAATTGAATCTTAAATTTCATAGATTTGATTTAAAATGCTCTTAACAGCCGTTTGATCAATCGCTTCCTGATCAATTTTATTAAGCAATTAGATACTAAATTAAGCTTACAATTTATTTGAATATTTATTTAAATTCATGAATAGCTTTGGCCATGGGGATAAGGGATATAATATAATAACTTATATATGTCTTCAAATCATCCAACATCCTTAACGATAGGTGAATTATTTTATTAAATGACTGTATTTCGCAGCAAAGCGTTTAATGATGTATATAAAATATTACCGAAATATTAGCATTCAGTGCATTATAACTCGGGTGGTGAAATTATAGGTACCTAATAAAAGCAACCCTCAGACACAGTCCACGAAGTTTCTCGCCGGATCGCGTTTCTCTCAGTGGGTCGCGTTTCCGACTTGTCGCGAATTCTGCAAAGCACGGCTCTTGCTAGGGTTCGTGTTAGCAACGTCATCAGGTTTGAGCCCCGTGAGTTGACCTACTAGTTAAGGATACGCTGAAATAGCCTCTCAAGGCTCTCAGCTTGGGAGGAAAAAAAATATATAAGAGAAAATTCACAAATTCACGATAAATCTTTAGCAAAAGCCCGTATAGGTAAACACAAGACGTTAGTTAATGCTAACTCTTTTTCGCGTAAGTAAAACTTAATGGATTTTATGAAATCATTTCGTTCTGCACAACCGGTTGTTCTTCATCAGGGCGCATACCTTATGTATGTGTAGCTCATCGAATCTGAAAAAAAGTCGTTCTAAAGTTGACATACCACATTAGAACCGGGATATATGAACGCTTACAGGTCGCCAACCTAGAAAATAATAATGTCGCACTTGTAATGGAGCACTTTAGACACATTTAAGTTAATCTTTGAAAATAAACCCATTATTCGCATAGATTGCGAGCACGTGGACCACCAACGTTAAGTAGTTACCTGAGCTCATACATTAGGTACGTGAATGTTGCCTTCCACCTAGACTAGACAAATTCGATCGATGTCTCAATTGTGTTGTATACCATCGAATATAACAGAATTGGGCACGAACAGTATCAATCAGGCCGCTATAGCTTTGAAACAACTAATTAATTAGTTTAGTCTTCATTCTACAAACTGCTAAGCTACCTCAGTGACAAATTATTTCTTAAAAATTTTATTACACTAAGTGCAGTGAGTTACGTGTGTATGTAGATATTTAATATTTCTCAAGCCACGGTGATGCGCAGTTTATTTCAGATAACTTTCAAGGAAAACCTGTTTTGATTGTAATCGAGTATCTAACGTACTTAAAATATACCTAGTAGAATAATCATCCAATGGTTTAAAAATTCTTTGGATTTCAAGGAACAAATCTAAATGCCATTTAAATGCCTCCTAATTAATGTTATGGTTAGCACGTATCTGGTTAGGGTTTGGAGACGTGTAATAAAAAGAAAACATATTTAATACAGCAGATGTTTTCGTTAAATGATAGTTTAATTGGTTATTAACTTTAGTCCATCCTAAACATGTAAATATCCTGTGTAAATTTTTATCTCTTAATAATATTTATCTCTAAAGTAGTTAGTTTAACATATATTTGTTTGTGCTGCTCTTAAAACCACAGATTCGCGTATGGAAAAACTGACCAAATTTATTTGCATTTAGATTTAGTAATTTTTTTTCTCTCTAAGCATCTGCCATTTTTGTAAATACTTTGACATTGACAAAATCAATGCCTAAGGCGTTGGAGCCAAATTCTTTATAAAAAAAAACACACACACACAAAATAGACATTGAATAGATTAATGCATACCCTCTAGCCTAACAGGACACCATTGCCAAAATTTGCCCACTTCAGCAGTAGTTTTTTAATAAACATGCTCAAAGAACGTGTTCCTATCATTTATTTTGAACAGCACTCGACTCGTTTGACAGTTTAATCGTCGCGACAGCGGCTGTGACAGTGACGATTGCTTTTTTCACACATCACAATGATATCATGGTTCCAAGCCGGTTTTGGCAACGGCGACCAAAATTTTCTGTTTAATAACTTTAAAGCTAATGTCCGCGCCTCTCGTGCGCTCTAATATGGCTATGGTAGCCTATCTTGTTCTTTAAACGTGCGCAAACAGAAGCTACACGTAAGAACACCACCCACGAAGTTGTAAAAAATGGTGGAAGGCAGTCTATTTTTCAGTTTCTTTCGACTGTCGTCCAGTTCGCGCCTCCTGTCGTTTTTAAAGACATACACACCCTGCTGCACCAAGCGTCTCCACTCCGAACGATTCTGTGCTTGGGACTCCCAACGAGAGGGGTCAATGTTGCATTTCTCCGTATCCCTCTTCTGAACATCCTTATACCTTAAGAATTGGCCGCCTCTTTTTCGCTTGCCAGTCTGGAGTTCAAAGTAGAACTGGAGTTAAGAGACGCCGCATTAAATAAGCCTCTATACGGCCAATACTGGCTCTTCTTTAAACCTCCGTATTCCTGACACGATCTGACCACGATATGTTCATTATATCTCGGTGGTATTTAAGGTGAAATCTATCCAACACGCGTATATGTTTGCGATACAAACACAATATTTCTGAGGAGTATAAGTGATTAGACAACACAATTGACATGTACACTTTTATTTTACTGTTTAGAGAAAGGTCATGCGAACGAAACACTTTATCCCGGAGCTTCCCAAACGCCACCAAAGCAGCACTAACCCGAGCATTTATCGAGGTCTCCTTTATTTGTTATCATAGTGATATATTCCATATATACTAGCGACCCGCCCTCGCTTCGCTTCGGAAACTGTAATTTATTATTGATTTCTCCACTATTGAATGGATGTTATTATACATATAAACCTTCCCCTTCAATCACTCTATCTATTAAAAAAACCGCATCAAAATCCGGTGCGTAGTATTAAAGATTTAAGCATACATAGGGACAGAGAAAGCGACTTTGTTTTATACTATGTAGTAATATAGACACAGAGTTTAAACTCCCGAAGCCTTTATTAAATTGCTTATTGCTTTTTTTTTCAATAATGTAATTTTTTTAGAACCGGCAATATGGACAAAAAAAATTGAGGTCAACAACTCGTTCACTCACTTCACAGCTTGCAGAAATCTATCTACACTGTTGAAACAGCGAACCAACTTTTTTGTTTGCTAGTAAAGATTACTCAGTAATGAACATCATTGTTTCTATTGGCGTCACTAAGCAGAGATGAGGTCACGAACCATTCGACGCTACCGTAGAGAGTACACTGTGAACTTCCAGTACTAGATTCATTCGCGAAGCAGCTGCCCTTGAGTTGTTAGGTCTCCCATACCTCCCATGCACAACAAGTCTAAGCTCCTAGCTGAGCCCGTTCTCGCCCATTTGTCCTGGTGAAACCTGAGAGGCCTCCAGGCCACCAGTAATCCTTCCTTCACATAAAAAACACTGTGAACTCTAGCTTCCGTGTTAACGTGACGTCAAAGAAAAAAATTTGCATTGAAACCTTGGCAGTAGTTGAATTAATAAAAATCGTTATACCTACCCATCCTCACTGACTACATGGCCTACGCGGCTACATAAAAGAAATTATCGGTGAGTTTTTTTCACAATTGTAATTTATGAATTACCATGTACAACCAGTTGTTTTGATCAAAATGAAACAGGTAAAAACATGTTTAATTATATATTTTTTCTATATATTAAGTACCTACAATAAGTACAGTAGTAAATTATTAACATTTATCAGAGATATAATTAAATATTACATTTTTCTAACAAATAAGTCGAGAAAGGTTAATGTTTGCGGGGTACTTTAAACAAACAAAAAATCCCCTGTATGCGCAGACATTCATAATTATTCTGTTAATATTCATTTTTACTTCCATAGATGGAAAACTGAAATATTGTCACAGAATTATCTTTTGACAGTTGACTTTTGATGAAGAGGCCTGAATTCCTGGCGGCGCATTTCTGCAGTTTTACAAGTGACAATGAGATAAATTCTTTGTGATAGGTAATACCGATGACATAAAAGCGTTTTTGAAAATATTTTTTGAATGAGCATTGTGTAAAGAGTTATTTACGTCAAAAAACGAAAAAGACGCTCTCAATGAGTAATGAATGGCCTTAATAATGTAAGAAAAATACCATTTTGTTTTAAACCATGTTGTTTTTTATTCAACTTCACATACGATGTAAACTAGGGTTAGTGAATACTGCCATTATTTACCAAATTTATTAACAAAAATACAACGGAAATTGGTATTAGAACAAAGAGGTAGGTTATCTAATCATAGGTAATCTACGCATAGCTACACTACGTATATTAATTTAATATGTTTAACTCAAAGACAAAAATCAGTAGTAGAATAAATAAACATTTAAGTAAGGGTAAGTACATACGATATTAGTGGATGAATCTAATACCACGAAAATTCCCAAATAAGTACCGTTTTTTTTGTAATAAATATGGTGACAAAAAGTACAGAAAACAAAGAAATAAAACAAATTTAATGCATTAATATTATTTTAAGTCCTATCCTACTAAGAAACACTTGCTATAAAGCGAAATCTCTATTAAAAGTTCAAACGTTTAATTAAACAATCCAACCTATAGCTATCAACAAATATTAAACTATAAATTGAACAACAGTTAAAATTATCTAACTAGTATCAGACTTTTGGCTGTTTTAGCTCCAACAAAACGCGCGTACTCGAGGACTTCGCTTTTGTCATCTCGTCGCGAGATAAGGCTTCTCCTGAATACTTTGTAGAGCATCACGGATCCACTGACCCACACCGGTATATCATTAATATCCTCTTCGGTAGGATGATTTGTATCTAAACTGTCTATGTCGGGGTCCAATCTTGAATACGGCGATAGTTCCAACTTAGGAATACAATCCTTCAACGGGAACCACTTGTAAGTTTCTGGGCACAACAAGTCCGAGGGGTGAAAGTTCCCTTTGTACCTCATTTTTTGACAAGAGTGTATGTAAAAGCCCATATAGTAATATTGAATATCCGGGCATAATGAGTGCAGATACCTTGTGAACTCAATTTCCCTATAAAGAAATTGCAATAATTAGTACAAACTCTTATATTGCGTAATATGTATACTGTGAACAACACACCGATTTTTTTTTATTGCTTAGATGCTTAGGTGGACGAGCTCACAGCCCACCTGATGTTAAGTGGTTACTGGAACCCATAGACATCTACAACGTAAATGCGCCACCCACCTTGAGATATAAGTTCTAAGTTCTCAGTATAGTTACAACAGCTACCCCACCTTTCAAACCGAAACGCATTACTGCTTCACGGCAGAAATAGACAGGGTGGTGGTACCTATCCGCGCGGACTCACAAGAGGTCCTACCACCAGTAATTACGCAAATTATAATTTTGCGGGTTTGATTTTTATTACACGATGTTATTCCTTGACCGTGGAAGTCAACCGTGAACATTTGTTGAGTACGTATTTCATTAGAAAAATTGATACCCGTCTGAGATTCGAACACCGGTGCATCGCTCAACACGAATGCACCAGACGTCTTATCCTTTAGGCCACGACGACTTCAAAATATTCCGTATTTCGTATCGTACGTCCGACCTTTTTCAAATTATGAGAAAGGGTTTATGCAATTTTCTAATTATTGTAATCGTAGGTAGACGAGCATAAAGCCGAATTTACATTACGAAATTAGTGGCGTGAAATTAATATCGTGACATTAGTTTTACCAACAGTTTCACGTGTAATTTAATACTTTCTTAATGCATGCATTAATTTCATGCATGCAAATTAGTTTCGTGCCCTGCGCGATTTTTTGGTGAAATTAGTGTCATGCAACTAATTTCATAGTGTAGACGCGACGTAAGGCCCATCGGATAGTGGTTACCGTCGCTCACGGATGTAAGCACAGTCAGGCTGGTCGACCAGTGTGCTTAGTGCGAGTTTTTTAACCTTCTCGATAGCGTTAAAGTTAGCTCATATTTGTATGGAATGGGACTGTTTGCTTACGTTTGCCGCTAGGGGCGCTGTTCCAACTGCATACAAAATTGGGTTAACTTTTACGCTGTCGAGAAAGTTAAGAAACTCGCACTAAACACACAGATGTGGTCAGCGGAATCCATTATATCACAAGTGAACGCCGGCATCTAATTTGAAGCGTAAAGTCGAAGTCTCAGCTGTATAATGTAACGACTATTCCTTCCTTCAAACTGAAACGCATGGCTACTTTGAACCAGGAATAGGGCAGGATGATGGTACCTGAAGATATGTCCTACGACCAGTATAGATCAATTTGTAGGTTTGTTTGGATTAGAGCAAAGTGCCACTATGGGCCGTTTGGAGGAACAATTCCGATCCGGTAGGAGATTCAACAAAGGACTGCTCTTGTTAGGGCAGATGTTAACAAAGTCTCCCAGGATGTAGACGAACATGTTCGGTGAAGCTAGCATAACCCCTCAAAATTATGAAAAATAATTGCAATAGGTAGGCAAAAAAAAGTGGTCACTTTTGACTGGTGATAGAACCTCTTGTGGGTCCACACGGGTAGATATCACCACCCTGCCCATTTCTACCGTGAAGCAGTTATTACGTTTCGGTTTGATGGGTGGGGCAGCCGTAGTAACTATACTGAGACTTTAGGGCTTATATCTCAAGGTGGGTGGTGCATTTACGTTGTAGATGTCTATGTGCTCCAGTAACCACTTAACACCAGGTGGGCTGTGAGCTCGTTCACTCATCTAAGCACTAAAAAAAACTAAAACGGTTGAAGAACTCATTGGATCCCTTCAGTTTATAAGTGAAACTAGCGCGCATTAATGAAATTCAATTGCGGAAAAGGGCCTGCACACACTAAGGAAACTTTAGCCTTAACAAGCATGAGTTGTTTTGCTCGTGTCCTTGACACAAACACACAAAATTTGGCAAACTTTTTAAAGGCCCGTGCCAAAATAACAGGAAAGTTGCATCGAAAAATATTTTTTATCGTTTTCCTGTTGCGTGCCTCGCAATATGCCGAGGTTTTATTCTCCTCGCACCCGACTGGATCGAAACGTGTGAAACGTTTTTCGAGTGTACTGGCTGTGTATTCTGACACCCTATTTAGATTTACGAAACAAAGTTTGATTTAATTTTGGATGTGAAAGTAGGTTATCTAATTGAATATGATAAATAAGGTAAAGGAATAAAGAAAAGCCCGTCCAATTTGGACTCAGGAAAGGCTCGATCTATGTTTTTTTTTTGTTTTATCGTAACTTGTTCTGTACCAACATCTATAATACTGAGAGGGACAGTCTGTCGCCAAGTTCTTTAGCACGTTCAGGTCGTCTGAGGTTCCTGACCTCCATCTAACACACCCCTCCTCCCTCTCCTGCCACAAAGCAAACTATTATTGCCCTTTTTTCTGCTTGCAAGATTGGAAAAATAATAACGATTAGTGTCCACGATTTATCGTTGCAGAGATCACCCTGCCTATTTTGTCCTGAACCAATAATTGGTGTCGGTCTGAAGGCAGGACCACCGCTGTACTATAAAAACGGAGACTTTAGAACTCATATCTCAGGTTGTTGATGTCTATGGGCACCGGTGATCACTTAACACCATGTAAGTAATAAAAATTATAATAGCAGGTTTATCCATTAAAATGCAAAGCCTACCTCAGAGCTCCATAAGTACCGAGCGTTAAATTCATATAATCTGGATCGTAGAAGAAATAAACAGACGAAACACATTTCGGCAGTATATCGATCACCCCCACGGCTATTAGCTTTCCGTCAAGCCAATACTGTTGGTGGAAAGAACCGTAGCCGCAGGGAGGCCCGTTAGCACTGTACTCTTCCTGAAACAAAACCCGGGGTCAATAGATTGTTTTTTTTTAATTGCATGCTATTGTTTAAATAAATCGTTATGGTTTTTTTTACGTGAAGGACCTCAAATTTCATATTTAACAAATTGTAGTGAGGATAAACGGTAAGCTATAATAGACATTTATCTCTCGTAACATTCCCACACTTTAGTAGCGCTGATGTCATAATCTGTAATATGTAATCTCTTTTGTTGCTTGATAGATATAGGGCTATTTGAAAGATTCCTGACTCATGATATTCTGAACGATATATACAGTGATGTACACACAATGAAAAAAAAAGATCATAATTTGGACACCTCAAAAGCTCATCAGGCAGTAAAATTTTTATTAAATTTATTCTGTTTAAACATTACTATTTTAAGGCAAAGATATACAAAGTTATTATACCTAAAAGTTCGGGCAATTATCCTCTAGCACTAATAATTTCAATGACATTAAAAACCTTTAATCATAAGACTTTGTTATTCTTCTACGTCACTACAGTCTTAGCGGATTGGTTGTGGCAATCACGCTTTCAGTAACCAGTTTTACAAGCCGACGCCACTCGCTTCCAGCAGCACATCTGGTGCTTACATCTAGAGGGCAATCTGTGGTAGCCCTGACCTGGTCAGTCCAGCGTATTGGAGACCTGCCGCGCGGCCTGACACCCTCTACCATGCTTTCTGCTCTAATATAACATATTTGAAAATTGTATACAAACCAATAAAGGACTGTTGAGTAAGAAGTCATGAAATTTACTTTCAGTACATTTGTCAGGTTCATCATCATGTACAGTAGTTTGATATTTTAAGTAAACAGCGTGAGTCTGCTTTGAGGTCGCCTGCCATTCAGGGCTTGGTGGGTTTGTTCGTACTAATTTTATCTAGAAAGAGATATAATATCTTGAAAGTTATGTTCGTTTTTACAGGTTTAGTATATTTTCTAACCAATATCAAGAAATATTATAAAAGACTATTTAGATATAATCATGAATAAATAGTGTATGTAAGAATATTTGAATCATCAGTATCTTTCAAGTGGGAAACAATCAGAGTTGTAGTTTGATTACATCCAAACATAATAGATATCAATTTAAAAACTTATATCAATCATTTACAACAAAATTCAACTCAAGGACTTCACAAGTACCTGCAACTTTTGTTTTGCATCATCTGGAAGTTCATTTATGAAATCCTCTAATTGTTTTTCCTTGGTTTTACTAGAATTACTTATGGTTGTGGTGTCAATACCCATCTGTTTTAATTTTTCCAATTTTCTCTCTCTTCTTAATAACTTTGCCTTCTTGAGTGGGGCTCTGTTGGGATCATGACTAGAATTACCTAAAAATAAAAATTTATATGCAACTAAAGCTTCGTTGGGTACTAAAAATGGTTTTTTCTTTTTCTTTAGATTACCTGTATTTGTATCAATTTTATATGTTTCTTTTGTATTTTCATTACTTTTTAGTACACCTCTTTGTACTGGCTGCTCATCTGAAATTGTAAGAATCAATAAACAATAACTTTTCTAGCATTCACAATTACATAGTCTGAATATTATACTGTTATACTGCGCTCTCTGAATATTTTACAGCCATACTGCCAATCTCCAATGCTCATTTGATGATATTGAGGTGCTTTATAAGCTCAAAAGGGTAGGCTAGTAAAGCCTAATTCTGCCACAAAGCAATTATGTGCTCAGATTTGAAAGATAGGACAGCCATTACGCAATACAATAGATACTTTGATCTCATGTCTCGTGTTGGGTGGCGTCATGCGCATTGTGATGTCTAAGTGCTCCAGCTACACTTAACAGCTAGTGGGCTGCGAGCTTATAAGCCCATCTACACAATTAAATAAGAAATGATGCAAATCTATTCATTTGTTCATGTTATTAAAAAGCTTTTTTTTTAATTGAGTGCACAACTGCATGTAAATTAAATACAACTTACTATCGCCAAGAAATCTATCATCATCATCAATAAATTTAATATCATCTACATTTATTTTAGTATGATCTCTGGTGCACAGCATAAGCTGTTCTGCTCCATTCTGACAAGTTTCATTCAATGTTTCTGAACTTGAACTGCATGTAGACATCTTCCTGTGACTTTCGTTTTGTCCTAAGAGATGCTTGTTGAACTTCTTCAGTATCTTCTTTTGGGATTTCGTAGCTTTGAATTTTAGTGCTTGGCATCTAAAAATATTTTTATTCATATACATATTATTTTTTATATTAGATAAATATCAGACCCCAATAAAGTAGAAATGCACAAAATTATAAAATATTGATTTACGTAAATAAATAAATGTAAAGCAAGGTTGTTTTAAAAATCTAATTGAAAATCATATATACCTTATAGTATACATTGGGCAGCAAGTAATATTCAATGTGGGTTTATAGCAATATTTTCCAGATCTTCTCCAACCCCTGTCAATGAGATCTTGATAATCCTGTGCAGTTAATGAATGTGTCCACATACCTTAAAAAAAACAATATTAAATTGATTTAAATTAAAATTTTAAAAAATTCATTTTTTGCACTCCTAATTTAACTTAAGAAGGGAAACAGCATACAGTGACACAGGAAAGATTTTCACAAATTGATGATTTATGTTTTATTACTTTTCATCAATATACAATTTCTACTACAAATTTATAAAATGTGTATTAATGTAAACTTATAAAATGGGTATTAATTATATTGTATGCATGTTAATAGGCTGATGTTTTATCTATTAATTTCAAATTCAATCATATGTATGTAAGTAGTGAAATCCGCTGTACATCTGTTTAACGATAACACACTACATTGACTAGGCACCATGCATGCCACTCATCATTTTCTTTGTGTAAAAAGTATTACATTATTGTACTGCTATGGAATATATGATTGGAGTACAATTTATATTTTTATTTAAGCACTTAGGAGCAATAATTGAGTCAGAAAATTTTCTTTGTCTTATTTGTCTACAATATCTGATTTAAAATGACTTCAATAGATTAATTTTCTTTTTAAAAAGTACAGTTTTAATTGGATAGAAATACGTAACCAATTCCAGAAATAAAACTGCTTAAAAACTTACCATGACTATAATTAGTATCAAGGTTTTTACAGTATCCACATTTATATCTTTCGTGTTCTGCATAATATTCCACAATACTTCGTAACATTGTACTTTTTGTATATTTTTGACAATGGTTAAGGTTCAATAAATAATAATTAATTATGCAAAAATATTTTTAATGTCATTACTATTGCAATTCAAACAAATCTGGATTTTTTTCTTGGCTTGATGTATCGAAGTAAGTAATGCACACTGTTATGTAAATTTCAATGACTACAAGTCTAAAATAGTTGTTACAATAAAATATGAATGGTTTTTATGAAATTAATAAGGTAAATGATTACAACATTTCAAGAGCCCATGACGTTGGTGCATATAGCTCTATGCGTCAGTGTCAATTGTCATCCACAGTTTTTTTGGTACATTTTTTCCTTATTAGGAAAAGCAAGGGGATCTGAGCTCATACAGCCTTGTCTGTTCTATTGATCATAAACTATACACTTAATAATTTGAGAACTGATAATAAATACATCATCCACATAGTAGTAGTAGTTCCATTTTTTCAAGTGGAAAGGCGATGGTATCATACCATATAGCCGAATCTTTTTTTGTATGTTCTATTCTCTTTCATGAAAAATGATATGGAGCAAAATGAAATAAAGTTGATTATTTTGAAACAACATTTTGTTCTATTATCCTGAAATTGTGCGTTTCACAGATATTACGCGATTATAACCTTGTTTTATTTCTTTATTCAGTTATTTTTCAGGTTAGGTTGTTAATAATGATAACTCTATAGATAAAAAATAAATAAATAACTAAAACTAATTATATCTCTACTGGTAGTAAAGCGTTTTAGATTACATTAAGTTCGTAGCACTAGCCTATATATTTCGGTCATTTTTCTTGCCACTTAGGCTTTTTTGGCGTCTATAGCAAACAGGCCTGTCCGGGCGTAGCTGGAATAGCCCCCCTTTTTTTAACGCTGAGGAATCCGTTTACGGACCTGATCGAGGGGGGTAGCAGAATAGATTATGTTGGAATCCGACGCCTCCAGGGAAGAAGAGGAAGAAGAGTGGATTAACCCCTAGGCTATCAGCGAATAGGTAGGAAAAAAATTGTGAGTTTTACCGTCAGCCATGAACGCTAGAAATACCAGAGCTAAAATCAGACCGCTGTTTACCGGAAAGGACTGTTTCCAAATCTTGTTTAAATAAGAAATTGAATATATTGAAGAACAAGCCACAGTGCTTAGGAAACTCAAACAATTCAGTAGAGCACATAACTTCCAGCTTCCAGCTTCCAGGTAGTAGGGATCAACTCTGCTCCAATGGAGGATAGTATGCTAGTAAAAAGGAGGTGACGACGGCATCAACTCGAATAATTATGTAGAGTATCTGGAACATATAGTACAAAACATAAAAAGAACCAGTGTCCCTACCCCTTCTTGGCTAGCCCACAGCTTAATAAGAAACCAATAAAACTGCTATTATTTAAAATATTCTAGTTAGATCAATTGCTCAGGTTATTCTACTTAAAATCGACAAATTTGGAAAGAAAAAACATGAACAAGAACTCACGGTTTTATTGACATCAAAAATTTTTCCAACAATACACTATACTAATACTTAGCATTTTCTTCCTTTTTTTCAGAAATTATTCCTTTACGTATTCGCTATCTCGTCTTCCTCCACTTCGGTGATATTAGACATCGTCGACGGATTCGTTCTAACAATACTCTTTGGGTGATTTCTAAAAGTTAGTTAAATTTAAATAATTTTAAAGTTTTCTTGCAATAAGCCTTTTGGTCCAACATGTTCATGTAGCAATATAGTAAGCAATACTTTTTTATGAGGTTTTTAGATTTTGCTATTTAACTAACTACAAAAAATTAAGTTTTTATACTTAAAATTGAAGAGTTGCATAAATGTCCGGGCCACCAGTAATCCCTCATTCAAAAAACCTTTTTACTTATTACTATGTCAAAGGTAACAAAGGTTTTTTTATTAAATACCTCTGAGTATGACTGCTGAAATTCCATGCTTGGGTTTCTGTTTTGCCCCATACTAAGTAAAATATGCCACTTAGCAATAATACGAGTGCATGTGAACACCAAATATTTTTCCACCGAAGTGCAGTATTCTGGAATATATGGAAAACCTACACCTACACAATCCTCGTAGAATTAAGTATTAAATCAGATTACAAAGAATAAACTAGCGACTACTACTACTACTACTACTAATTAATATTTTATGATCTGTGGATATCATCGGATCATTTGAATTTTTCATTAAAACGGGATATCAGGAGGGGAGCTCCGAGAACTTAAAATCCCATTACCCAGTAGTATTCGGAATTATCTTCACATTTTTTATAACTTAACTTTCCTACAATCCTCTCAGACTTATAAACCGACCTTATAAATTATTATAGACTAATTTCTTCATTCAAAACTCCTAGCCTGCCCCTAGCTATTTTTAAGAGGGTTAGATCCAAGCGATGTCAAGTGACAGCCGCCTGAATAATTATTCAAAGTAAAATCAATCGGTCTCAGTCAACTGAAATGCACTACCGAACCTATTTACCTTTATGAAGGAAAGAGAAATAATATATACATACTTCATATACATGAGTAACATGCCCCACACATAGAGGTTCTATAATCCCTGAAGTATTCCCAATTATTTTGATTATCGTCATTATTGAATTCCAATAATTTGGCGTGAGATCCTATAATTAAAACCCATCAGAAATCCGTTTTTTTTTTTACTACCTGTCGAAAACAAATTGTCATTCCTGTCTTACATAGCATAAATCTAATGTTACATCCATTCCAGCTCCAGTTAAAGCCACAGCTACAGTCAATAGAATTGGTCCTGGATAAATAGAAAATAGCCAAGATGACGACACCAATAGTCCTGGGATAATGTGCGCTGGAAAATTAAAGTTCACAGGCAACAAAATATTCACTGCTGTTTTTATTTCGATGGGTAGGTATTGCGGATTATATAAGTAAACCAAAGTCAAATGATCGTTTAAAAAAATTAAGCTATCAAGTCGCAATGTCCTATGAGTTCGGATCGTCCATCTAAATATGCCAGTAAAATATTGCAAACGGGTGATTGAACATTGGTGAAATGTTTACTTATAATAAACTACTTACACAAAACTATGAAGTATTTCCTAAGGTGCTTTCTTTTTTTATAGTAATCAGTTAACTTATAGCGATAGAAACATTGAATAGTAGTCGCTCCGAAAACTAGGCGTAGAAAGAATGGCAGTGCAGTTAACGCTGCGGCCTAAAGAATAAAGAGAAGAGTTTTCTCTCTTAACCAAATACCAACAGCTACTATGAATTACTAAATTTTACCATTATACACTTTGTTTTATGTTGACAGGGTGCACATTTGAATTAATTATGCTGGAAAATTCAGGATTCCAATTATAGGCTTATTACACTTGGCTGAAATCAGACGACTGAATTCAGTCGCTACTATATTCAGTCAAGTGTAATAGCATTAAGTAAGTTAGTCTACTGAATGCAGTAGCAAGGATGGTTTCTGGCTGACTGAATCATTTAGAAGCCTAATTAGAAACGCATTTAGGAAGGTGTAATCGCATTTAGTTACTGAAGGGTTCCATTCAGTCGTCCCATAGCTCTCCGTGTGTAAGGACGTTTGTTTGTTTTTTGCTTCCGAATAAAAAGTATTAATATCGGTCGCCTTTATTTAATGTGCCAGACATTTATAAATAGCCCGACATGTTTCAGGGATAGTTTTTGTCATCAGGGGTTGGGATATTGAAGAACTAAATTTTAAATCTTAATGTTACAACCAATCTTTCTTTTGGACTTATACTATCGTAGAATTAGATATGTAATAGTTATATAATAGACTATCGTAGGATAGTATCCTGCTTTTGAATAAACTGTGTCACAAGGTTTAATATTAGGTCAAACGAGATCGAATCCATTTATAGATAATTTTTGAAGTCTGCTGGTTCTAAATCACTCATAATGTTCATATTTGCTAACATTCCGCACAGCAATAAATATTTCTTCATCGATATTCTTGTTTTTTTTTTTTTTTTGAGAAATTTAAACAAAAAACAAAAACAAAAAAAAACAAAATTTTTGTTGTTGTCTAGACAATACTAGAGCCATCCTCTTACGCACACGACACGTCTTACTTCGTCGCGCTTAAACTTAGAACAGTGTAATCAGAAGCTTCTAAATTTGCTTCTGAATTCAGTCGACTAAATTCAGCCAAAGTCGGTTTTTATAAGTAATTTAGAATATAAATCCATAGAGCTTATCTCTTGTAATTAATTAAAATTATTTTAATCATTATATAACACATATTTTTCAGTACTTTCAATTCTTATAACTAAGTAACTCACTAACCTTATAAATATTGTATTTTAACACCTCAGAGTAGTATAATGGTCCGTGAATGCATAAAGCTGTAATGTTCCACGAATAACCAAAGTTAAGAATGCACAGTGCCCAAAAAGGAACAGATTTTAATATTAATTTCCAAGGAGTGTGAGAGTTACTCAACTGAAAAGAGATTGAGGAAGGACAGTGAACAATTACTGTACTATTGAAATGATATGAATTTTTGAAGAAAATCAAATATTATTCAACCTTTATTGTAAAAATATTCCCAATTGTATTAGTTAAATATTCCAGCTCTTCATTTGTGATGCACCAATGATTTCTTGGGTTGTTAGTAACTAGCAACATCCATAACATTGCCCAAAGTACTTGGAGTCCGCCTACGATGTAAAAACCAACAGGCCATCGAGAATAGTATTGTATTGCAGCGCACATTAAAAACGTGAAACAGGTTCCCGTAGTAACACCTATTTGAAAACGTAATTAAATAATAGGACTTAATAATATAATATCGCCAAAACCAAATTTCAGAATATCTCACCGCAATGAGCCCACAAAAAATTATTCCTTTCGGTCGGAGGCACCCAATGCCTTAGTACTTGAACCATGCTTGGTTGCATAGCGCCCTAGAAAACAAGTATCTTCTTCGGTGTTAAGTGACAATAAAAAATCATGAATGCAAACACTATACTAACAGAACAAAATCCTTCAATCGTCCTGACGACAAATAAAGCCCAAAAGTCATAGTATGCTGAAGCAGGAGTGAGACAACTTAACACTCCCGATGATAGCCCAGCTATTACAACTACCCATTTGGGTCCAAGTCTACAAAAATATGTTCTGATGTGAGTGGAACGCATAATAATTTAACTAAAAACCAGCATTGGTGCTTGGCGCATCTTTGCGTTAATAAGAATGGTACTGGTACCTACTGAAAAATACAGTTTCTTCTAAAAATATAAAAGAAAATTATAAGTATTTTTAAGGGTGATCCGTTGAATAATTGAGACATGAAAGCCTAATAAACAAACAAACAAACACAATTTCACATTTACTTGTATAATATTTAGTACGTATATTCATTGCACAATTTAACATTGACAGTTTAAAGTACCCAGTAATAATTCATTAAAATAGTGTTTAGCGTTTTTCATTCAGTAATTTGATATGTATTTAAAATTAAAATATCTATCAAAACAAAAAAGAGAACAAATATACACACTTAGTAAACAGCTAAAATGTCTTAAAAACAAATCACTAATGACAATTATCTATTTGTATCAATTATTCTATCATAAACGTGAACTTGCCTATCTCCAAGGTTATGGAAGATTGGAAAGCAAATGCAATAACCAATATGGTAGGCAGAAAAAATCACAGCCATTTTCATATCATCCCAATTCATCATGTCTATGACCTGTGTATTATAAATATTATTTGATAATATTATCATGTTTTGTGGAACTTTTCATAAAACAATAACTCCTACAATCATTTGAAGTAGACTTTAATGATTGTTATTCGGACGCAATCCACGACTGATCATCATAATCTGATGCATATTTTTCAATAAACACTAAAATTGCAAATTTCATTAAACAGAACAAATATTGAGCAAAAATTTATAACAAATAGACATGTTTTAATAATAAGCAGCGTGAGTTTTACTTACTCCCGATTTACGATTTTGCCTCCCAATAATTAAACTACTGTAATTATTACCACCTTCTCTTTTAGAAACCTGGATCATGTCAACGATGTGCACACTAATATTGTAACGTATGACGTAAATAAAAAAATAACCGCAAAATATCATCACAGCGACCTAAAACATTCAAATTGCAATAAAAATGTTTTGACTACTTATCACATAATACAATTCAAGAGCACACAGAAAGAATTTCACTTACAACTACACGAATCTGAATTCGAAACATTCTTTGGTTTGGTCCTAATTGCACTAAACTTCATAAAACAAGCCATAGCCATAATGATTAAATCATCAATTAACTTAAATTCAAATATATTTAGACTTTTTTAAATCAATTTTGTATAGGTATTTGATTTTTATAGCTTTTTTAATATTTTATTTTTTAGATGATGTACCTACATGAATTAGATATATTTTTTTCTTTATTATTCTTTATAACTAGATATTTTAATACATACAAATTCAAAAGATTCAAAAGTTAACCGTATCACACTTCAGTCTGCTTTGCTTTTGTCTGATTTATAAAAGAGGCAAAGAACGAAAACAAATTAATATATTTAAAGATTTATTTAACGATCAGCACTTCACATACAATGAAATCAATAAAATTAAATGGTAATCTAGACACATAAATTATTTCTAAACAATAAATCATATTATAATAAACCACATTAGTCAATATTATCTATTTATAATTTGAGAAGGAATGTCTTCTCCTGCAAGGAAGCCACTGGTGAAGTCATTTTGATTTAAATACTAAAAGAAATTTACATAGTGATACGTTAAAATTATTGAGATGGTTTAGGTGCAATTATACGTTAGCAATTAATTATTAGCGACCGGGCTCAATGATGTGGATTGGTATAGGTCTAACAGTGTACGATTGTGGGCTGATGACGATGACAATCATACGTTAATTCAAACGCACACAAATTTGATGATATTAGCCAATTAATATAATTTCTAAGCTTTCAATGTAAATTTTAAAAGGCACCTTTAAAAACAAAAATAACATACAAAATCTTAATAAACAAATGCAAATTTACTTATACTAAAACAAATGGTCAAAAATAAACAATGAATGTTGTATCCCTGTCACTTCCAAGAGGGTTTCCATTTTATCACTAACAAATCACAGATAACAGTAAGGTACGCGCCTAACATATTTATTATGTTTAAATTAAAATTTATTAGCCGAATATTTCATTAGTACACCTAATTTATTATTTTAAATAATAAACCACACGATACGAAATAATGTCATTAATTAATACCAGTAATTTCAAACTTACCACCATGCTATGGACGGATGGATATTTTCATATTTATTTAACTTACCGTCTAAACACTTCTACATCATCCACTATTTACGTCATCGCAAATATACATGCTTAGCCCTTGAAGAGTTACGATACTGTATCTAGTGATGTATTACATTGTTACAAAACTCACACCTTATGAGATTACGCTTAAAGGAGTATCTTTCGCATCTTTGGCATCACCGGTTCGTGTCGTTATCCCGTTCATTTCTTTTAAGTCGTTGTTTTTATCGTCTTTACTTTCCTTTGTATTTTCCGCAAAATTCCAATCTTGAATGTTACCGGTGCCGAAGAAGATAAAAAATACGGCAGAAACAACATATACTGACGCCCCTATATAAAAGACTGGTCTCCATTGTTCGAAGCCGTTCTGAAATAAAAATAGAAATGATTTTAAATAACGTCCAATTTTTTTTTAATTTAAATAATCTCTAAAAAAAAACTTACTCCGTTCCTTGTGAAATATGCAGTTATCATAGGTGTAAAAAACCCAGCCGTGCTACCGATGCAATTAGCAATTCCATATAAAGTTCCAGCATAACTCGGAGCTAAGTCTTGGTGATTTTGTAAATTTGTTAACGTAGCAGCTCCGTTGAAGCCCATTGACATAGTTATTAAAGCCACTGATAGGGTTGTCGAGCATCCGGCATAAATCAAGCAGAGCAACAATAATCCAGGCAAAATATGTGAAAAAAGACAGAAGAATTTTCGAATAACCGTCGTTGTCAATAATTTTCGTGCTAATATAAAATCTCCAATAAAGCCAAAAATTGTTGCCATCACCAGCCTAGCGAGGTATGGTAAAGCGGATATTACGCCCGCAGCTGATAATTCAAATCCTAAAACGCTTGCCACAAATTTTGGACCAACAGTCATTATAAAGTACAATCCCCATAGGTTTCCATAATGCAAAACTATCATAGCCAGAAAGGGAAATGACTTGACAATGCTCTTAAAAGGCGGCAGGCCCTGAAAGTAATATAAATATTATTGTTAATTAAATTTATTTAAAAAATTTAAGAAAAGTAGATTTTTTTAACTACAAGAAAATGCGTACAGCCAAATTACATCCGTTGTTCAAAATTATTTTAAATACTGAATATACCTGCTATACATAAACACCATTACAACTATAAACACTGATTCCTATATGTAACGGTACAAATATATCCAATAAATTTTAATAAATTTTAAATTGATTACTATAACATCGAATCTCACACATAAGTGCGATCCATTTAAAGTGTTAAAACAAATATCAAAGTAAATACCTTAGACTTTTTAACCTTGTCTCCTAGAGCATCTAAAATATAATTCTTCTCTTTTACCGATATCCTTGGATGCTCTGAGGGTGTATCAGCAACTAAGTACCACCAGAAAAAGCACCAAACAAATGTTAATGCGGCTGGCACATAAAACGCTGACTCCCAGCCAAACTTTTCTATAAGAGGTCCAGTCAAAGACCAAGTAACAACTGTCCCTAATGTACCGCCCATCGTGGCACTAACAAACTTTCCTTTTTCCGCAGGTGGAGCCCACCGGGCTACCAACACATGAAGGGCTGGATATATGAATCCCTGAAATCGAAAAAGGAGAACTTATTAGAATCGGAAGACGAGACTAGAAAAATATTGTATATGAAAACAAAAAACTGACTGAAGCAAATCCCAGGAAGAACCTAATAACAACTAGTGCCAGATAATTCCAGGATGAAGCCACAGGACTTAATGCAGTTAGCACTGCGCTTGCTAGTGAAGTGACGAAGACTACTAATCGAGGACCCCATCGCTCAGCAGCCATTCCTCCAGCCAAAGATGTCAGCGGGTAGCACCAAAAGTATGAGCCAAGGATAAGTGCTTGTTGATCAGCAGTCCAATCAAAAGATGCACCTCCTGGAACCTACAAATAGAAGTTTATTAGAAACACAAAATTAAAATTTCACAGCAACTTCAACAATTTTGTAAACTCTCGTTTTTGATATTTATTAGCGTTTAAATACCCTCACATTATTTTAATTGTGCATATTTTGTTATTGCAAGAAATAATATAAATGTTTAATTTGTTACAGTTAACAATATTTAACGATGCATATAGCTTTACTCTAAACAATTCTCTAGCATTTAAACTATAATGTAAATAAAAGTAAGTATAAAGTAAAATAAATTATTAAGCCTTTATTTAGATTTAAATTCTTTGCACTTTTAAGTCAAGAAAAATAAACGGTAAAGATCGGCGATATGCGACTAAAGTTTTCATTATTTTTGTGCTCATGTGCTGTTAATATTGTTGTACTTTAAAGCAGCATTTGCCAAGGAAAAAATCTTAAATAACAATTTCTCGCAGATTAGAGAACATAATATTATAAAATCGATATTCTAATCAAAATTGGTATTGAGCGATAAGTCTGGTAGGTAACATCTCATTGTATCTTATTGTCGTGTGAACATACATGACAGTTGATTCATTTACCATAACAATTAAAATTGCGTGACGAGCACCAAAAGAAAATTATTGCCGTCAAAAATTTCGTGCCTTTACATAATATAAATATATGTATGTGGGTGTGTGTGACTGGTTTAATTTTAAATCTTTAGCTTTAGTAAGCGTACCACAAAACAACAAAATATACAATATTTAACATGAAAAATATAGCCCTGATAACGAAAATAAGGTCGTTAAATAATTCACAGTCCAAAATCGTACAACTTGTATTGTCGCGATTAATGCCTGTGGATTCATTAATCATTCGAAGTTGCAGCTAAGTAAAGTTATTGCAGATGTTTACGGTGAAGTTTAAAATTAATCATGATTTATCCTAAGAGTAATTCGTATGGTTTAAATTAGTGTTCATTTAGATAAAATAATTTCAATCACCTGTCTGGGCACCTCTCTAACATCAGCTATGTCTACGTGCTGCAAACTAGTATTCCTGACCACGTCGTCTTTAGCTCCGCATTGTGATGTCGAACTAATTAAAACAAACAGATTAGTTGTAGAGAAAACAAAAACTCTGATGAATACCGAAGAAACAATGAGAAATTTTATCACTTAACGTTCCAGTTTGAAAGCCGATTAAGACGCTCACAGATCTAATTAAATAAAAGAGAATCCTGTTTCATAAACACTCGTTCTATTTATAAACTAACAAGTTTTACATTAAGCTCACTGTATGTACCCTAGCAGCGTAGATGAAGCTTCCACATTTATTTGTAAAATCCAGTTTTAATATAATGAGTAAAATAAGTATGAAATACTGTTGACCCTCCCTTTTGAAATACTGTTTGATTCACAACCAAACAATCAAAACATTCCAAACCAAAAACATTTAACACGAAAAAGGAAAACATAATATGAAATAAAAAAGAAAAAAATATATTAAAAATTTCGACCAACCGATGATGTTGTAATATAAAATATGGTAAACAGTACAATAGTGACACACACCTAGCCTTTGATATGTGCGTCCATTTCGATGGTCGAATTTCAAATAACCCACTTGCTGAAATCTGTGCATCAAGAATACGATGGATTTATCCTCGGTCACAATGAATATTTTTTCATTAGCATTAGACATCAATGTTAAGAATCCAAAAGCTACTCACGAAGAATTGTGTGACGTTTGAGGCACCATGGCAATTAGATTGAGGCTTATGTTCACACGCAACATGTACGCCACCCAGCAACTCGTGAATAACATCACCCACAGATTGAGCCTCGCTGGGATCACATCTGAAAACAAGTCAAGTACGAGTATGAATTTTATATTTGTGTACAATTTTTGAAGTATGTATCTAACGAATACAGATATTTAATAATGATAATGAATGATAATGATAAGTATTATGAATGGCAAATATTGAAATACCCACATAATTTTGCAGATTGACCTGCTTTACTACCAAATACGCAAAAACCAAATCTAAATCTTTGCTGGCAAATCAGGTACAAGCACTGAAATTGACACATTTATTGAGCCATATTTCAATGGACACTTACCAAAAAATATACAATAAGTACTAAAGAAATGGTAACCTTTCAAAGTTGTTTTTTTCTTTGAATTATATTTCATTTTTAAATATTTTCATTTTGCCTTCAAAATAATATATTTGTTATTTATTTTCTTTTATTTATATTATTTGACATTTAATGGTTACAGTGAAAAATCTCGTTAAAAAGTCAAAATCAATGATTAATTACTTCAATTTTATGAGTACTCTGTTAATGGAATAAATACTTTTTCATATAGTTTTTAATAAACTCACGTAATTCGTCCTACCCAATCAGATATAGGCCGAAACCGATAACAAAGCTAAACACCCTATGACCAACATCTGTGCTTGCTCTGAACTTTTATTTTTTGTTGTATTTATTTCTTAATCTCTGACATCTAATTTACTGTTGTAACTATACTGAGACCTTAGAACTTATATCTCAAGGTGTGTGGCGCATTTACGTTGTAGATGTCTATGGGCTCCAGTAACTACTTAACACCAGGTGGGCTGTGAGCTCGTCCACAAACCTAAGCAATAAAAAAAAAGAGAGAAACTAAAATAAATAAATTTATATAACGCCCTGTAATGTCACGTCACGATCGTTTTTATTGTCATATTGTCATACATTAGAAGGTTGCATCGAATAACCATGTTGTTGAAAGCGTGAAGCGAAAGCGAAGTGAAATCCACGAAAATATGTATTTAAAAAAAATGTTCCATTGAACAAAAGAGGCTGTAAGGACATTTGTATGTGACACAAATGACTTAGCATTGCCTTCTGATTTTCCCTTCCTTCCGCTACCTTTCACAATAATGTTAGTAAAGCATCAAAATGTTTGCACAAACAACTTAGGTCACCGTTCACGTACAATCTGCAGTTGATCGTATGCACACCAGATGCACGCATGATGTATTATTTTGCAATTGAGAAATTCGAAAGTGTTCAACGACCTCTAAGAAGGTTTTATAAATGACATACATTGTAAATGATTCTGGTTTTATTTAATAATGCTTAATTATCAAATCGTCTAATAACTGATATCGCAGTGATGATTAAAAAAATTACACCTAACCGAACATGTACAAAATGTAGGATGATGAGCGATTTTATGTACATATTTATTTTGTTTGATTTGTACTAACTAGAGGTCCCGCAGTAGTCGAAATTCGACTATAATTAATTGGAATTGTAAGTTTGTACACTATTATGATTGTATTTTATACTTCTATAATCAAAAATTTCGTCAAGACTACACTAAAAAAAATATTAATAAAGACAAACCATATTTAATCTATTCTCAATTTGACCACAGACGTCAAGAACAAAAGTTTGACAATAAATAGTATGCATGCGTGTGTGCGTCAAATACATGGTATGTAGTGTGTGTAATGTTTTCTTTATTGATTTAATGTATATTTTATGCATTATTTAAAAAAAAATATTATGTGCATTGTGCACTTCTCTATATTCTCTATAAGTGTGAAAAATTTCATACTCCTCCGTCCGCGCAATTTTCGTAAAAAGGGATACAAAGTTTTTACTTCACGTATTAATATATAGATACTTTTTATAAATATACATTTAACATTTTCGAAACTTGAGAAGAAATCGTTGTTGTCTTATTGAGATCGTGTTATTATGATCCACGAAGCAGTCAGGCATTTCAGTTTGAAGAATGGGACAATTGTTATAAAATATAATTGAGATTTCGACCTTGTCTCGAGTTGGGTGGGGTTAATCACGTTGTGATATCTGTAAGCTCCTACTGCAATATGCCTATGATTTCGTCCACCTATCTAGACATGAAATAAAGGTGTAAAATATAGTGAGGTTTTTGTTTGTCCTCTTCATTTCCGTTTTCAACGCTGTTTTACTATGCCTACTATTATATTTGGCAGGTGTGCATTCTGTTACCACTCTTTTTACACGCAACGTTGTTTTGTGGTGACATTAATTACGTCCGTCGTTAAATTATACTTACACAGTTCCTAATAGTCGCACGTAAGACTATGATTGGTTGAGTAAGTGATGTTTTAGTTTCTCTCCGTAATGTAACTTGCGGAATTATTTAAAACTACTTAAATAAATAAAAAATATATAAATAATAGACTGATAGTGATTTCGTTGGTGTTCGGGACTTGTATATCGTTTAAGAAAACAGTTAAAAAATAAGGCTTACTATTAAAAGACACAATTATTTTATGATTAGTCAATAAGTAAGTCGTTCAGTCAAAATCAAATTAAATCTCTTTGTTTATATTTTGTTATTTGGTTACATTCTGCTAAGATTTATAATGTCAGTGTAAAAAGCACAGAGGAGTCCACATGCGCGAGCGATTTTCGTAAATTATGTATAAAATTAATTGAAATAAATATACCACTTTTAGAAGTTAGTAGGTGTAGACTAGAACCACCCCAACTGATACGAGGATGCTACTATTGTACTATATTCCGGTGTGAGTGACAACAAAAGAGACGATGCCAGCGGCGACGAAGCAAGAGTTAGCTATTTAAATTCCCCGATCCACTAGTATCATCAGTGTACTCTCCATTGGGCTTGATGGAATAATGCGGCATCAAGGAAATTGTGTTCTTTTTTCTGAATACTCTAATGAATTGTTTAAAATGATTCCGTCATCTCCGTTTACCATCGCTGCACCCGCTACCGGGACACAATTTATCCTTACTATCTCGAGCTCCTGTGTTCAACCATAATGAGTTTCACAGGATCATTTTAAACGCGAACTATCTGACTTGCACTATAACATACCCTGCTCGAAACACAGTTTAAAGAGTGTAAAGAGTCCTTGGGAATAGGCAGCGGTTTGGCCATGTGTGCTTTTGCGCATTACCGATAATTACAATTTACAATAAGATGGATTATAGATCTTCTAAGTAGAAAAACAAAAGAAAAATAAATTAACTGGATAAACAAAATAATTTAACGAGAGAGAGAGAGAGAGAGAGCGAGAGACCTCGCCAAATTCGAAATCCAAAAAACCTGGGAAAAACTACCAAACAAACTATATTTTTGTGAAACCACATAAGTCGTTTTAATACCAAATTTTTTGTATTATTTCAAACCATTTTCGCGTCTTCAATTACTGACCTTAAGCGTAATTCGCGAGTTCATATTAAAAGCAGACATAGTTGTCTACGTCATTTTTAACATTTTTAGGTAATTCGAACGTTGTCATTTCGTACAAGAAACACTTTGCAGCTACGAACAAATATTTATTTATTCGTAGCTTTGCATCAGTTATTTAATATAATCTATTAACTTCTAAATAATTTATGTATTTAAAAATGATTTAAAATAAATTGTCACCGACAAACATCATATCGGTCTTCCAACCGTGCCTAATTGTCATTGTAACATACTCGTAGATAGGTAGGTACGTACCTATGTCGTTTATATTATATTTTACTAGTCATCAACATTGTCGTAAAGTTAGTAATGAGTTTTATCGTTATTGTTTATGATTTTCACTCTTATTCGTAAACTTACAATAAACAAAAACTATTTAGACAAGTTTAGTGTGTGATTTGTTCCACATTGTATTCATTTTAGAAATTGGTAAAAGGGTAAAAGGTACTGGGTTCAAAATCCTCAGGCAGGTATACATACATAAATAAATACTAAACATACGTACTTTAAAAATGAAAGAATGATATAATTATAGTCGGTTACTCTTTACAGAGCAACTGTGGTCATGTGGAATCCTTGTTAATTATAGCCTTCACAGTGGTTCTTCATAATCCGCGAACTGAGACTTGGTGTACGCCCTCATTAAGAATGAATCGAAAACGAAAGAATGACATAAAGTACCTAACCAAAAAAAATTACACATACATTCGAAAAACAAATGAAACGTTCCACATTTAAAACAAATTTAAACTTTTTCTCTACCTAATCGCTGATAGCCTGCGGGGCTATTCAAACTAATAAGTTCACGGGATTAACCGGAGCATTTTTTCTAACAATAGTCCTAGCAAGAGCAGCCATTAGCTGGATCTACCACCAGATCGGAATTGCGACCTAGTGATAAGATCCGGCAAAAACTCCGTGGGTTGGGTCTATGGGTCAGTTCGATCGTCGTAATCGACCAGTTCGACGAGGACGATGATCGGTGCTTGAAGGGTGTAAAAGCACCGAGAGTGGATCCGACAAGACATGTTTCGGGCGACGTTGGCTTTGTGTTGCCCCGTCGCCTGGGTCAGATAAATAATTAGTGGCGACCACGATTCGAGAGGTAACCTGTCGCACCGCTTTGTCGAAGTAGCGTTCTAACGCTAGAAACAGTAATGCGTTTTGATTTTTAGGGTTTGACAGCAACGGCAACTGGTACTATTGAACTAATACTTAGAATTTATGAATCAAGTTAATTGGTGGTATTTGTGATGACTATGGGCTCCATTAAACACTTACACTGCACAACACCAGGTAGGCCGTGAACTCATTCACCTATATATGCAATAAAAAAACTGGGAATACCTACTACTCACGAGATGAACTAATGGTCAAAATAGTTTTTTTATATTAAAATACTACATTTTCAAATTTATTTGACCTACATCAGAAAGAGCAGAAGGCTCAATTTAAATTCCAATTGATAGTCCTTTTTATGCATATGGATGCCTTTGACACCTAAGACGGGTGATTAGTCTTCGTGGACAATCATTGGTCAAAGTCGTGACAAGCAAATACTAAATTTGAACGAATTTAAAAAATCACC